ACTTCCATGTTATTCACATTTCAGAAAACATATGAAGAAAATTCCCTAAAATGGCCAAATGTGCTGAGAAACACCCTTAAAAGTCCAAAAATTTACCAAAAAATACCGTAAACCTAAAAATGTCAAAAAATTACCTATAAAATTTACATTTCTGTAACCAGCAGCTCATATCTGAGATTTATATATTTAAGAGCATTGCATAGGATACAAGGGAAAAAAGATGACATGTCATCAGAATCCGGGCCCTGCTCATAAATGTTGATGAAACTATACACACACCCAAAATAATGGGACCAGTGGGAACAGAATTCGTTTGTGTGGGCTGCAATGAAATAACTTCAGCTGTCAATACTGAATGATGATGTTCCGTTTGTTTACCCTCTGTAATGCTCATGTAAGTGCGTTAGTGATTGTGCTGAGTGAAAGTCCATACAAAAGTATTGGAAAATGGAAAACTTGTCCTATTTTGAAAGAGAACACATCATTGGTATGTGTTTAACTGGAGCGTGTCTGACAAAAGCTGCCATATTATTAGGTATATTGAGAGTAACAGATTCAAAGGTTATGTAAGCATATCATACAGTGAGAAGAATTGTTTTGAAAAAATCACAAAATTACTGCAGCACAGGTGACAGCAGAACTGAATATTCATCTTGAAGACACTGCTTCCACAAACACTGTCCAACATGAGCGTCACAAATCCAATATCCACAGTAGGGCTGCAATTGCTAAACCTCTGATTACTGAAAGTAGTGCTCAGATGTGTAAATGTTGGTGTCACGACCACAAAACCTGGACACCTGGAAATGTGCATGTTATATGGTTAGATTACTAGTCCTTCATGCTGTTCCCCACATTAGAAAGAGTTTACGTTTGGAGAACACCCAAGGAAGCCTACAGTCCAGAGTATCTGGTTCCAACAGCAAAACACTGTAGAGGTTCTGTGATGGTTTGGGCAGCAGTATCATGGTACGGTGTTGTGTTGGTCACCCTTCAAGGCCGAATTACTGCAAAGGAGTATGTGGCCAGGGTGGATCCCATGATCCAGACGTTATTTCCAAATGACGATGCAGTTTTCCAAGATGACAATACCCCCATTCACACAGCTGGAACTATTCAGTGATGGTTTGAAGAGCATGAAGATGAACTTTAATATGTTCCCTGGCCAGCACAATCACTAGATTTGAACATCAGTGAACCACTCTGGTGAGTTTTGGAGACTACAATGAGGAACCAGTTCCCACCTCCAACATCTCTAAAGCAACTTGAAAATGTTCTTCAAGAAGAATGGTATAAGGTTCCACTACAGACTGTTCAAAACTTGTATGAGTCCATTCCAAGAAGGACTGTGGCTGTATTGAAGGCAAAAGGTGGACCAACACCATATTAATAAAGAGATGCGTACAGTATCAAGTCATTTTTCCATTATTTTGTTCAACCTCTGCATATGATAATTCACAAAACTGAAATTAGCAGCAGCGTTATAACTCTGTGTACCAATTTGTATGAAAATGTTCAACAGTTTAAAGTACTTGGTGACAACAGTAATGAATGTCAATGAAGTTCATTGTGAAATTAAAAGACTAATAAAGCAGGAAATACTTGTTATGAAAGTATCATCTGTTTATTTTCTAGAATACTAGAGATCAAGATATATGAAACAAATTTTCCACTTGTTCTCTATGGTTGTGAAACATTATCTCTTACTTTAAGCACAATAGATCACAGTAGGTCGCAGTGCAAGGGCCGAGAAGGCCCACCCCCTTATACATCTCTTACTTTGAGGAAAGAACAGAAATTATAAATATTTTAAAATAAGATGTGGGGTATGTATTTCTATCTAAAAGGGAAGAATAAGTGGCAGTTTAGAAGCTGGCGTGACAGGGAACATAATTTTTCATACCAGTTGCCTAGTATCATTAATAGTAGTGAAGTTAGCATCCATGGAGATCAGAAATTCACACAGAATTTTGGTTTAGAGACCTCTTACAAGCAGCTAGTTGGAAGACCCAGAGAATAATTGGAGGACACCATTAAAATGGAAGGTGGATGGGACTGTCTCAGAATCAAGGCGGACTTTGGTATTAGCAGTTTCGAACCTTTATGTTCTGCTGCTAGAGTTAATTTTTGTGAGTAGAATAGTTTTTTAATTATCAGACTACAGGAATGTGCAAATAGAGCATACAGATGATGCATTTTTAGTCAATTCACACTCTAGAAGAATAAGTTGTACATTAAACAAAACATTTTGATTTATAAATATTCTAATAGAAACTAAGAAATTGGTAGTGATTCGTTTTTACTGCACCATCTCCTTCACATTGGCTGTATGGGTAAAACACTTGAACTGCCATGGATCAAATGAGGGGGAGAGGGGCATGTAATCTACACATGAAAGAAGTAAGCAGAATATTGATAGAATATATATATCTATATATTTAATGAGACAAGATACAACAGAAGAAGAGCTATTTCCTGCGTAAACAGTATCTTAACTATGTAAGATTTGAGGTTTTCACAGCGGTGACTATGAAGAAAGCAGTCTTCTGGGATGTGGCACCGTGTAGATGTGGTGTTAACCGACGTTTCGGAGGAGCGTATCGCCTCCATCTTCAGGGTAGAAGGAAAAATAAGAAAATCCACAAGCAAAGAGACTGTGAGAACCAGTACAAGCAGACTGCTTCGCAACAAGCCACAGATTTTGCTTTCATCACTGACACTTCATAGTACAGTGTTTTAGTTATTGCCACCGTATGTAGGTCTCTTTGTTATTTTCATGTAGGTTTGGATACACAAATCCAAGAGATTAAGGAATCTGTGGAACTTCCTCTTACCCATCCAGAATATTATGAAGAAATGGGTATTAAACCCCCCAAAGGAGTTATTCTGTATGGACCACCAGGTACTGGGAAGACTCTGCTGGCCAAGGCAGTGGCCAACCAAACATCAGCAACATTCCTTAGAGTTGTTGGTTCTGAGCTCATCCAGAAATATTTGGTGAGTACTTGTACCATATACACATGAGCTCAAGCTGATGCATCTGATTAATATATGCATGAGGTATTTACTTTAATCTTGGGCAGAATACTGGCTAACCTGACTTCATATTTTTCATTATTTCCTCAGCCATTCCTGGTAATTGTCATATTTTGAGAAATTGGCCATGTTGTTTCCTTTCTATTTTTTTTCAAGTTCACCATGCATGATTATACTCTCATCTCATTTGATGCTTCATAACCTTTGCATATACAAACTTTAAATAATGATATGAACCAGCAGACATGTGTGAAAAATATCTGAGCATTGGATCCTATTCTCATAATCTAGTATTATAACTGTGGGATGTCATATGAAGAGAACCACTAGTTGAACTGTCCTATAGTATTTATTACAGTTGCACCGTTGTCACACTTGCTTGAATGTGGGCAGTTCCCACACAACTGTGGAAAGATTATTACAATAAGAGGGTTTTCTTGTAATGTGATTTCTGTATTTAAATGTTGGATGTTGTGGTCTAACTGGCCACACCCCTCTGTTTCATGTTTCTCTACAGTTCTTTGTTGTGGTAACTTGTGTATGTGATGCATTGTCAAGTTTGTACTGAAGTCAGTTTGAGAAGTAATGCCATCAGTAACAATCTGTAAGTAATTGCAACTGCAGTGGGAGCTATTTGCCAACTTTAGCAAGAGTTTCAACATAACAGAGTTTGAATGAAGGAATGAGAAGACAGTATTGTCCTGGTGAAGACACTGGGAAGAGTGTAAGAATAATAAGCTCCCATTAGGATAGCTGTATTTGTCAAAATTTAAACTTATCATAAATAAAGTCATTCTTCTATTAAACTATGCCTGCATAACATTATTTACCCCTTATTTTTACATGAGAGCTATGTGCTTCAAATTCTGACTTCAATCCACAACTTCCTATATGATCATATACCCCAGACTCTTTATCCCTGGTAAATAAAAGTTCAGTACATTGCAGGAAAAATCAGTTGTGGTAACTGAAATAGTTAAAACNAATAGACAAGGTGTCACAGAAACCGATGTTGCTATAACCAAGTTTTTCTGTATTTTAGAACTTTCTTTTAATCTAACTGAAACCTCATATTGTTTCTGTATTTCTGTCTGTATGCACACACCAAAAATTATTTCATCCAGGCCAAGTTAAGCTTGTTTATACATGCACACAGTTACAAATTTCATGTGTTTCATGTGGTTAATCAGCTGTTACGGTGATTAGATTATAGAAATTACACCAGTGAATTGTGAATGAAACAAATGATTTACTAGATTTAAAATAATACATTGTTTGGATTTGTAGGGAGATGGACCTAAGCTGGTAAGAGAATTGTTTAGAGTTGCCGAAGAACATGCTCCTTCCATTGTATTTATTGATGAGATAGATGCTGTTGGAACCAAACGCTATGATTCAAATTCTGGTGGTGAACGCGAAATCCAGAGAACCATGTTGGAGTTACTAAATCAGTTGGATGGATTTGATTCTCGAGGAGATGTGAAGGTATTCAGTATAGTTATAGCAGATCGCTCTCTTGTTTGACAGCATGCCAATTTAGGATACATTATGGTGGCACATTATAAATTAATTGACTCAATATTGATGTTAAAATGTGTTTTATGTTACATAATTTATTTCAAGGTTGTAATGGCTACAAACCGAATAGAAACCCTGGATCCAGCTCTGATCAGACCTGGTCGAATTGACAGGAAGATTGAGTTCCCACTACCAGATGAGAAAACAAAACGTCGTATCTTTAATATCCATACATCACGTATGACTTTGGCTGAAGACGTAAATCTGACAGAGCTTATTATGTCCAAGGATGATCTATCTGGTGCTGATATTAAGGTGAGACTTTACTTATATGATATTGCCACTAGAGAGATTGGAGGTAAAAGAGGGATTTCCATTTACATGAATCTATCAACATTTCTGCATTTGAAGCTGAGATGTTAATAGATTGACTTTGATCACGGATTCACTTACTTCAAAGAACAAAATTTGCTTTCCTTATTACTTTCTTTTCCTTTTGTGCTGGCATGAAGCAGGTCAGGCAGTTTTCATTTGTGAATATATTCTTTTTAATTAATAAATAGAAATTGATGCATTACTATGTAATATAAAACTTGTAAATTAAGGGTAATGCTCATTAATTTCTTGAAATTAGCATGCAGTAAATGGCTCCCTTCACCAGTGATACATGCTTGGAGGCTATTAATGAAATCACATATTGTAACATATCCTGTGATACAAGCCTGAAACTTCTTGGATTCTGTCCATGAATTTTTCATAGTGGGAGACTATTTGGGATATAAAACTCTTGAGATATCCTTGTCCAAAGGAATTGGAGGCAGATATATCATGGAATCGGGCAATCAGATCAGGAGACAAGATTTGTGAGAACAGTTCTGCACAATCTTTTGCTTATTACTCTTACATTATGAAATATGGAAGATCTGATGATATGAAACTTGTTGCACATGACACAGTATTGTGCTGACTAGGTATCTGTCTTCACCATTGCTCATTTAAGGTTATGAATTGAAAGAGCATAAACCACATTGACAAAAAGAGCTCAAAATTAGCCCAAAGGAAGGAGCCTAACTTCTGATGATATTCTGCATTTGTCAGATCGTAGAAAAAAAATGAGTGCAGTGGGACAGTAACTAAAGTAACTTCATGGAGCTGAGCCAATCTTGAGAAGCCTCCAGTTATTCAGCTACTCAAGAATTTCACATTTTCTGGAACCTGAAGGTTCATTACACATGTTTACAAGAGCCCTCCACTAGTCCCTACCTCAGGCAGTTCAATCCAGTCCATACCATCCCATCCTTCCTAAGGTCCATTTTAATATTATCCTTCCATCTACAGATGAGATAACAAAAGGTTCTGGACTGAATGGTGGCGAGCATTACCCAGATTCACTCTCCTTTCAATTTCTTCTGAATCAGAATTTGATTTGTTACTTTTGTTCCCAACTTTGCCACATTATCAAAGGATTTGTTAGCTGTCTTTTATGTTATGATTTGCCCTGCATTCTGGTAATGAGATATATACTTAGTTTTCTTTGCATTTACTTCTAATCCAGTCTCCTCCCTAGCGTCAATTAGGGTTTCTGTGTTTTTCTTTATGGCATCTATGTTATCTCCCAATAGATTTACATCATCATTGTAGGCCAGCAGCTGATGTGCCCCATTTAATTTCAGCCCAACCTGGTTTCTCTGGTCCTTCATAATGGCATATTCTGAAGCAGTGGCAATAAAGCATCTCCTTGTTTGAGACCATTTTGATTAGGAAACATATCACACAAATATTACCTATACGGCCTTCACTATAGGTATCATTTAAACACATTTTAATTGGCGTAACTAGTTTCATGGATACCCAGAACTCTGAGAGTGTTGTACTGTCATGTGTAGGGTGGTACACATGACAGAAATGACGGGTTCTAGTTTGGATGATTGGATTTATTGGCACTTTGATTACAGCCTCTCTTAATTACGGTCAGGTACAGGCAATACAGTGCTATCGCTGATTTACACTTTATAATTCACTGTTACACACACCCACTAGTCCTGTCCTGGTAATGCAATTAAAACACAGGAACTAGCGCTTCAGATCACTCCAAATATTACATATAAATCAGATCACACTTTACATCCTCACAGGCCTACCTCCTGTATTCTTCTGTACTCCTGGTTCCAGTTTGCTCTATTTCTATGCTTCTGCCACTATTATCTCATAACTCTTAACTAGTAACTGTACCTCATAACTGTTCTCATAACTCTGCCACTGTACTTCTAGTTACAATTCACTCTGAACTTACAGCTCACAGCTCTTGTTATATAGCCGCAGCACAGTTCTATTGTTGATGATGCCAGAAAACATGTCACATGATATCTCATCAGTCCACTGGTGCGCTGACTGTTGCCTAGCAGTGAGCTATAAACATTCATCTTATTGTTGTAACACCCTCAACTGAAGGTTGTTTACAGGTCGTTGCCCACAAACACTCTGTCCATCCACATTACGCTGCTCCCTCCTTAAGGCTGTTCATCCTGAATAGCATAACAGTGTATCACCTTTTCTTTTCTTCCGAAGGCTGTGCTTGCAACATCTTTTTCTCTGGCTCAGTGTTTCCTCTTGTTGGGTCTTTCTTTTCCAGGTTGCAGTGACCATTCTCCATCTGTTACCACCGCTCCTTCCTCAAGGCCAGCTCGTCCCAAGCAGTTCCAGTCAGTTCAAGTTCTGACCATAATCCAAAGTTCTCCTCTTTTCTCCCTCTCTCCCCCCCTCCTACAACAGTGGGGGCCCTATCTGGCTCTTCCTATGCTAATGCTACTGTTTTTTCCACTTTGGTGGGGGGCCAACCCCTCCACAATGTCCAGTCCAAATATGTGAACATAAATATGCTATCAGCCATGTCAGTTGGTTAAAAATTATCAGAGTTTCAGGAACCGTATCTGTCACTGAAACATCAGTAATTTTAACCAGTTGACATGGCCGATAGCCAAAAAAAAAAATATTTACTTTAGTCACTGTGAAAGCTTCAGATCATACTCTTAGGTTGGTGGTTACATAAGTTCTGCTTGTTTCACATTAGTTGCAACTTTGTTTCAGGCTATCTGTACAGAAGCAGGTCTGATGGCTCTGCGGGAGAGACGGATGAAAGTAATGAATGAAGATTTTAGGAAATCTAAGGAGAGTGTTCTTTATAGGAAGAAAGAAGGCACTCCAGAAGGTCTATATTTATAAAAAACATAGAAAGGTTCTTTTCCTTTCATAATTATATACTTCACTTGGAAAAAGAATGCAGAACTTCTAACCAGTAAACACCCATAATTAATTAAGAATGTAAACATTATTATGGAAATAATTTTAATAAATCTATTCATTCAGTGTAGTTGGTGATGAAAATATTTCAGATAAGTCTTTGTCCATTATTCACTGTTAACATTTATAATTTTCCAGTTTTTCTGCCATATTAAACACACCTATTCCTCAGATGGGTCTGTAATTAGCCTTCACGTGTATTTCTTCAGTGCCACACTCCACTCATTTAACAACTGGAAATTGTCCTGTTGTATCCTGTCTAGTGCATCCTGTACATAATGCCTTTGATTCTCAATGATGTCTGACATTGGTTTTGTGGTGGTGGTTTCTCTATGTTCCTGATTTTTGGTAGGATCTGCCTGACACAATTGACACATGCCTAAAGAAGTTTTCTCTAAAGTAGTCTTTAGTGAGCTGGCTGCAGGTACAGGGCCTGCCTCAGTATGGTGAAAAACAGTGCTGAAAAAAAAAGATCACACTCAGTTTGTCTTGTACTATTTACAGAAACAGTATGAGACTTGGGGTTATCATGGTAGTAAGGTAAAGTTACCCCTGTGCTTAATTAATTAAGCAGTATGCCATGAAGACATATGGGGGAGTGGAGGTATAGCTCCACCATTCTTGACCTTGGCACTAGATGAAGGTGAGTGGTCAGCTCATGCCCCAGCTGTTTTACCCCAGGGAAGAGAGCCCCCACAATACATGCTGGATAGGAGGCTGGGTGAACCTCTAAACCAGTCTGGAAGCTATGGGGAAGTGAAAGATGTTGACCCTGCCTGAAATCGAACCCTGGCACATAGCCCATCATTATACTGACTGAGCTATCCCACCTCCTTTTCACGGCAGTAAAGGTCTACATTATTGTTTCTGGATTACGACACTAGGATTATAGGTGGGTACTGAAGCTGGGGGGCAATATATTCTTCAAAAATGCTGGTAACCACTTACCAAATTACACTGTATTATAACCTAGAAGACCATAATATGAAAGCATCTGGTGTTGCCAAATGCTGAGGTAACACCTTAAATTACATCATCCATACATCATTTCCATTTACAGCAAAACCTGGATTTTACATTCCTGAAGAGACCATTAAAACGAATTTAAAATAAAGTAAATGAGAATTATGTAGCTATTAAAACTAAGTACACTAAATGAATACTATATACACTAAAAATATAATCTAGTTCACATCCACATGTCCATTAAAGCAAGCTGTCACTTCGCTTCCTGCTGAACCCTGAATGTCTCATTCTTGATACTGCTAGGGACAGCCATCATGTTATCATCAATATAAAAATTCAGAATTTCCACAATGTCATTGTCCTCCAGTGCTAACAGGAACATTGCTAGAGATTCACATTTGCCACATCATCTTCCTCACCCTCCTTAGACACATCAGATGTAAACTTTTCACCCATCATTGCTCTAAGGATACATATTCTTGAAATGATATACCTGCTTTCAGCTGACCCTACTCATCTTTGGGTTAGCTGTGTTATTTTGTTCATATGTTCTCATACAGGTTTCAATCACATTCTCTCTATCTCTGGACATGCTCACCTTATGACTCCCTTTAAATAACCCAGTGATAATGCAGCTTGATATCCTTCAGCATATCCCATGTCAAAACCCTTCTGAAAAACTGCATCCCTTCCAGCTGCTGCACCATCTCGAAAACCAGCCTGAAATCACCAGGGATTTGTCAGTATTTCACTGTACCTTCCCTGTTTTCTATGCAGCATATTTGTATTGAGTTGTATTTGTCATTGAAGAGTTAAAGACACCTTTGATGTAATAATTCTATAGACGTTATGACAGTGACATATCAATGCTATGTTGAACACAATCCATTGTCTTGAGATATGTTTGATATTAACAACATTTCAGAAATAGTATTTTTATAGTATAATACCTAAAGAAGCGGACTAATATTTTTTCGTACTTGTGTAATGGTTGAACACATTTTGTTCCAAGCCCCAATATCCATGTCAGTATGATCATCTACGCTTTTGTCAGCCATCGTCAAATTGCTGCATTCGTATATTTCACAACTATAACTTGCACCAAATCATTGACTACAGGTCAGTACGTTCACGATTTCACGATCACACCATGACAATTGGCAGACAACTTGCCTGCCATATTTTCATATTATATTATTCATATGTCTGCCATGAACATCACTAAGATCTTAGTGCTGCTATCTCTCCCCAGCTGCAAATCTAGTAATACTCGTTCAACATGGCAGCCACCAGCGCCGATACAATGATCGGTAAGAACGTCATGGTATCAAAGCACCGGACTATGCGCATTGTTCCCTCATCCCCGAATGGGTAAATACTAGTTCAAAAGAATAGCAATAAATGATTTTGCAACACGAACGCTTTTACCTATGGCTGGTGGTATGATAATACCTTTATTCCGACCGTGTTCACTGAACTGGCAGCGGCCAGTTTATGTCATTAGACCTGCAGCTGAATATAGAGGCCGTAATGATAGACTGTGACGTCACGGCTATTACTGTGCCTGCCAATGAGGCCAATGAGGTAGCGTATTCACATCCTGCAGAGCTGCAGAGGATGTAGTTTGGCAGCAGACTGAGGAAACTGGCAACCACATTTTCCGATAATTTTAATCAGCCTGAGTTGTACATATGTTACAGAATGGGGCAGTTCAATGTGTCTGTTCCCGACAAAACTGAATTAACGTGGTGACAAACCAGTGGTTTGTTGAAAATTAAATGATGCTGACCTAGCTCGTGGTGCTTTCCCTGCGATAGGTTTAAAGTAGCAAAACCAGTTGAACACGTTTTGTATGTGATTTCACGGAAATCTGTTCAAATAGGTATTTATTTTGCTTAATAGAGATATATTTCCGTTTTGTCATATAATGAATGCAAATAAAACTGGAGAATCTGTACCGAAAGGAAGTGATCACTCAAATGCGGAGTCCAGTGAAGATAGGTGAGTAGTTAACATCTGTTATAGAAAAAAATCTGTAAAAATGTTTTCTGTGTTTGCTCTTAACATACGTCTTCATGACTTGGTCCTTAATTAAGCATGGAGCAGCATTTTACACTTATATTTTTTTAAATATAATTTTTTAAGCTTTGCAGCTATATAGTCTTTCAAGAGGATTCTATTTTCACAAATTTTGCCCATAGAATTTTGGCTCTTGCCAAAGCTTCAGCCAAAGGCATATCAGATAAAGATATCCAGAATGAGATTCCTGATCTGCGTCCAGACCAGCGTGCTAGCATCATCAATAAGTTTCTGTCAAAGGTAATTTTTTTAAGCTTAAGAAAGTGTAACACTTGTTTAATGGTAATGTAATTTTGACTTGAATAATTCCCATTAACAAAGAAAATCGGTAATAATTTTTCACAGTTTTGAATATAATGTACATATTTTCAAGTTCAGAAGTTTATGTACATCACAACAGTAAGTACATCATTGTAAGTTTCAATATAAAACTAAATGTACATATTTAATGTCCTTGTATTAAGTTTAGTTTAACATTTTACACTTTGACACAACATGTTTCAGCCCCAAACAGCCATCTTCAGGTGTCTTGGTATGTTAGAAATGTATTATTAAATTATGATAAAACTGCTACACTGTGTTAGTGCGTGTTAAAATCACATGCTGTAGTTCTCTTTTCAAGGAAAAACAAAGTAAAATCCATTAAAATTTCTATTAAACCCATGTTATTTTGGTGCATTCTATTCACCTCACAAGGGGTGACGTCCATTGTTCAAAAATGTATGTCTGTCCCAGGTGTTTTGTTCCGGCAGCTTGCCCTTCACGTTCGTAGCCCACTTTTCAGTTGTCTGCAATATGCCCCTGGTTTGCGTGTTTGCCCACAGCATGTGGTGTTGTCTTTACTAGTGCTGGAACAAAACACCTGCGACAGGCATACATTTATGAACAGTGGACGTCATCCTTGTGCATTGAAATAGAATGCACCAAAATAACATCGGTTTAATGGAAATTTTAATGGATTTTATCCTCTTTTTAANTTAAAAAGAAGCTAAAAAATTATTTGTTGTGTAACGTCTTTTATTCTCTTCAGGAATTTTTTAACAACTGTTGATATGGACTGCTTGCTGACAAATAAATCTGTTTTAGATAAATTATTTATATGTACAGGAATATGTTTTAAATAGTCTGTTTGTATGTTGTAAACAATCTGTATATATGTTTCAAATATTTTCTCTAGTCTTAGGTATTTATTATTTATTATTCTATATTCATGTACTTTGAATGTTATGCTTGATGTAATATTGTTGTTATCTGACATGTCCAATTGTAATTTCTACAGCTACGGATGAAATAAATGAATTGAATTGAATTGAACATAATTTAATAAAATATTTGTAACATATCAAGACACCTGAAGATGGCCATTTGGGGCCGAAACATGTTGTGT